TAAAGAATTTCTTCCTCACATCCAGCCTGAATCTTCCTCTTTTAGTTTAAACCCATCACCTCTTGTCCTGTCACAACAGGCCCTGCTAAAAGGTCTCTCCCCATCTTTCTTATAGGCCCCTTTAAGTACTGAAAGGCCACAATAAGGTTCTCCAGAGTCTTCTCCAAGCTGAACAGCCCCAACTCTCTCAGCCCTTCCTCACAGCAGAGGTGTTCTGTCCCTCTGATCACTCCTGTGACCCTCCTCTGGACCCTCTCCAGCAGGTCCATGTCTTTCCTGTCCTGAGGACTCACCACCTTCAGGCCACCTCCCTCTGAGATCCAGAGCCTGTTTGAAGGGCCCCTTCAACTTGCCCCACAGCACCTGCTGCCCGCAGCCCCCAGGAAGGGCATTTGCCACCCACTGCCAAACATGCCACAGCCCAGGATTTGCCCTTTCCTCAGATTTCCCACAGGACTGGGGGAGACGGCCTTTCCAGCACCCTCTGATTCAGTCCCTCTCCTCCTCACAACCCTCCCACTCCCTGCTCTGCTCAGCACAAACACGGACCAGCCCTGCTTGCACAAGCCAACCCACAGTGACAGCTCCAAGGCCCTCCCAAAGGCAGGGTCTGGACCCTGTCCACCCCATCACCACACACCTTGCTACGAAGTCCCTGCTGACATCCAGGAAGATGAAGAAGCACTCCTCGTTGGGTGTGTAGGCCCGGTGCGCCCTCAGGGCTCTCTTCACCTCCTTCATGGTCTTCAGGTCGAACACGTGCAGGTCGATCTCCTCGGCGATGGGGGGCGGCTGCATGGGGTCAGAGATGACGCAGTCGCGGGGCCAGGCTCGGCTGTTCACGTACAGGTACCTGGGGGGAGCAGAGGGGTGACCCTGCACCCTGCTGCACGTGACAGCGCTCACGGAGCCCCAGCTGGAAATGTGCAGGTTGGTGGCACAGGAACCCAGCAGCTGCTCTGGCCCTTGGTAAGGCCGAGGCTCAGCTCACCAAAATCCAGGCTGAAACATGGGAACATGCTGCTGGAAACCCTTCTTGCCATGTTTGGAACAGAAAAGGTGAGCCCTGGTGGCTAGGCCAAGCCTCTTTAATCCCATTAAACCCCACTTTAAGGATGGTGGTGTATTGTGAGCAGCAGCTCAAGGGAAGAGACTCTCCCCCCTCTGCTGTGCTCTGGGAAGACCTCCCTGCAGTCCTGATCCAGCTCTGGAGCCACAAACCAAGAGG